CTACAGGTATAACTTTAGTTTTATACCTGCACATATTACCTTCTATAGCTACAGGTATAACTTTAGTTTTATACCTGCACATATTACCTTCTATAGCTACAGGTATAACTTTAGTTTTATACCTACACATATTACCTTCTATAGCTACAGGTATAACTTTAGTTTTATACCTACACATATTACCTACTATAGCTACAGGTATAACTTTAGTTTTATACCTACACATATTACCTTCTATAGCTACAGGTATAACTTTAGTTTTATACCTGCACATATTACCTCTTTTTTTCTTTCCACAGCAACAATACATCTGTATTCATCAGTGTTTACTTTGTGTTTTGGAGGGTAAAGAAAACATCCTGGAGCCACCCAGGCTCGAAGTGCACGATAACCAGGGATTTGAAGGTATAAACAACGAAATAAGGTCTTCAGAAGTAAGATAATGTAGATATTTAAATATTTTAAAGTTTAATTCCCATAAGAAGGCTTTCTTTCTTACTTTTTTTTTTCTCTAAACAAACATTATAGACTTGCATGTGATGTATTAACTGAGGTCTTTTATCATATCAATCACTTGTTTGGATCTTGTTAAAGTACAGTTTGTTTTCCGTTTCCTTTTATTTTCATAAAAACAAATAATTGTTTCTAATAACCTCTAAAATATTTTTGTGTTTTTGCAGATGATGAAGGTATAGCAGAATCAGGAATTTAACCAGGAATTTTGACAGAGTTATAAAACAGGATTATTGACCTGGCACATTTATTTGTGATATATCTGTATATACTTGTTATTTTGCACAAAAATGAGTAGATACACTTATGAGACAAACACCTGTTGTTTTAAGTTGTTCTAGCAGTTTTACAAGTATCTCTCTTCATATTCTACATGTGTTTTAAACCTGTATATTCAGTTTCTAAAGATTATTTCTTACGGTAAGATCGACAAGGTTTATTTGACGTGTAATCTGACAAGGTCAACAAAGCATTTGTTGTATAGAGCACCATTAAGTTTAACCATACTTGTGTCACATAGATTCAATCAATCTTTTAATAGATAAAGAGTGTATTATAATTAGTAAAATATTAAAACTTTATACGTGGTAAAAAATTCATATCAATTGATGTTTTACTTTTGTTTAAAAATATATTTTATTAACTTGTGGAAAGACTCCTAGCAAACCAAGGCGTTGTCACAGTTTCTTGCTTTGAGATCTTTTCCTCCAACTCATGTTTACTTTTGCTTGTGGTACTGGTTGAGAATGTTTCTAAAGTGATTTCTGTTAAAAGTATGGTTGAAAAAGTTCCTAGAGAGGTACTCCATATTATAATATTGTGAACAAACACATTTATCTTTGTGTTACGATTGTTAAATCTCATAAAAATGTAAATATAAATAATTCAATTGTACTTGGACAACACCTGGCATCTGTTCTTTATCTAGAGATTCAGACCAATATTCCATTGTTGTTTTACTCTACATTCAGAGTTTGATATATAAATTGTTGCTAGATTTTAGCTTTATGAGCACAACGTGGCTTGAAATCTGTATAATAAGTTCTTAACAGGAGATCTTGACAAACAAAGGCCAAGATGATACAATTAGAGACTGTACGTAAAACAACTGGATCAGAGGAACCAGGTAAAGATGAATATTGTGATGATTGGATGTTGTCTTGTTTAATACTTGGAGGTGTTTGTATAATACATAATCAAGCTGTAGTATGTGTATTTTATATGCCTCATTCAATGTGAATCCAATTGTTCAATTTCTGTCAAATGTTTTACTTGGAACGTTCATAAGACAAACCAGCTTCTCACAAGTAGCCCTGAACCCAATGTTTAAAACAAATGAGTAGCCCTGAACCCAATGTTTAGAACAAATGAGTAGCCCTGAACCCAATGTTTAGAACAAATGAGTAGCCCTGAACCCAATGTTTAGAACAAATGAGTAGCCCTGAACCCAATGTTTAGAACAAATGAGTAGCCCTGAACCCAATGTTTAGAACAAATGAGTAGCCCTGAACCCAATGTTTAGAACAAATGAGTAGCCCTGAACCCAATGTTTAGAACAAATGA